CATGTGTTCTGCAGCCTAATACAGCTCAGATAAGTAGACACTTTCCTCGGGACGTAGCTGCAGCGCAAAGCACATCAGGAAGGTAGCTCGTCCTCGGGTTTGTGCATGTACAAGTAGTGAGTGAGCGAGTCGAGCCTGCCAAATGTGATTTATTTAGACAAATGCGAAAATATCAATCCAGTGATGAATGAGCGGCTGGATAAGCAAAACTCTTGAGATTGCTCATCATCTTCAAATTTAAGGCCGAGCACAGGTTCCAGCCCTTACGGAGAACAAATGATACAGCTGATTCTCATTGTGCTCTCATCTGACAGGTGAAATTGGACTTACACAAACTATTCAGGGTTTTCAATCCGACGGTCTCCAGGTATTTGTTCGACTTTCAGGACTACTTGAGAGATCAGCGTGTGCGTTTAGTGCTAAATCCTATAATTGAACCGACTGCAGCATATCAATACAGAGCAGTAAAAAAAAAAGAAATGTTTGAGACTCACGTGCACACATATGCATTCAATCTGCAGCTGAGTACGTGCTCACAGAGTCAGTCAATAGTTTCTCTGGACCTTGACTTTTCAAATGTGTTCAGAACTTAAGAGGGGAAGCAGGGATTGAGCGGAGGCTTAGTAAAGCTCCACAGTCTGTTTTTGCTGCAGGCTCGGCCGAGCCCCGCTTCTCCTCCACATGCTGCTTCATAAAACATTTTGGCAGACTGGACACATAATTGCCCGCACTGTTTAAAACACTTTGTTTCCTCCACTTCTGTGTTATTAAGTCTAATGAAATCTCTCCTTTCACTGTGACGTTTGGGTAAGGTGGTATTAGAAGTGCAGTGTGTACAAAAAGCCAAAACACACTTTTTTATGTAGAGGGGAAAAAAGAAGCACTTAGCTGTCAATTATTTTTCTTCTCTTAAATATTACAGGCTGCTGCACAAAAGACACCAGCAGGAGCTTTTAAAACAGGGGTTTGAGTTAGACAGCTGCTGAACACAGAGCTGCTGTATATGTCTGTTTGCACATTTTTAAAGTACCACCAGAAATTCTGAACTCACTACCAAGCGGTGTCATACATAGCTGAGAGATGCTCATTTTACATTGTGGGCCACATACAGCCGACTTTGATGTGAAGTGGCCTGAACCCGATCTGGTAGACTGTCCTTAATTATAGGTTTAGAATATAAAGTTTTCATTAATTCTTTTACCTTTTTGTAGTATGGATGGCAATGGGGTGATAAGAGGTAAAACTTACGAAAATACAGTTCAAAGTTCTAAATCTGTGCACTACTTCACATTGAATTGGAGTCTTTGCCGAGCCTGGCAGCACTAGACAAGCCCTAAAACTGAACATGCAAAGACAGGCAGGGCAAATTTCATCCTTCCATCTGTAATATAACACTAGATAACAATGAGATGTTTCAAATCGACTTTGTAAAGAAACGTAAAAGCTTAGTGAGACCCCTTTAACCTCATTTAAACTTGGTTAAAACAGTCGGCTCTATTCATCTTCCACACTCTTTAATCCTCACCTCCTTCATTTGTCTATTATTTGATGTTGGCACGCACACATTTGATAATTTGTCTAATCCTCATTTCTCCCATGCAAACATTTCCAATTTTGCTAATGATGAAATGATAATGAGATGGGCGTACCCATGCATAAAGAGAGCAGCGGTGCAGTCATCAGCTGCTGCTAACTAACATTAATTCCCTGACTTGCGTAGCTTGACAGGCCAGAGTGAAACACTGGAATCTGCACAAGCTGGTGGGGAAGGAGGCTTCAAAACAACACCTGCTGTCTGCACTTCATTAGGAGGTGAAAGAGGCATCGGCCCCGTGACACTGCTGTACAATCAGAGTGGGCTGAGGGTTTCATCAATCAGCAGAGCTTTATTTGTGTAGTATCAGTCATGCTCAAGTTAATGCGGCTCAAAGCGCTCGGCTGCTGCTGTTATTACGACCAAAAAGATGAAACAGGGGGAAAAAGAAAAACAATCAAATAGGATAAATGAGTGAATGAAATAATACAACGACTATAAACTGAATGCAATCAGAGGTCGAGTCATAGAGGCTGGTTTTCAGTCACGTTCAGCATCCCAACGCGCTCAGGTAAAGTTTGGGGTCATATCAGATAATAATACGGTGGCCCTGAGAGGCCAAACGGACTGCAACAAACACCAGCAATAAGAAAAACGCGGCAAAAGCACTCAAAACACAACGGAAATAGGAAAAAACACAAGGGACGTGTTTCTGGGGACACAATAACCCAACGGACCAGTTGCAGGAACAAAAATATGCTAAGAATTTCGCTGGGAGACACTTAAAATAAGCGGAGGATCTGTCGGTTTTGTGAGGAAAGATGAGAGGTGTGTTAGCCTAAATATTAGCCTAAAAATCCATCATCAGTATTATATGAATCATGATAAAACACACCTACCAAGTTTTGGTTCCTGTAACTGGTCCGTCGGGTTATTGTCTCCCCAGAAACACTTCCCTTGTGTTTTTCCTATTTCTGTTATGTTTTGTGTGTTTTTGCCGAATTTTTATTATTGCTGGTGTTTTATTAAGTTGCAGTCCGTTTGGCCTCTCAGGGCCACCGTATAATAAGCTCAGGAGTTTCAGTGTTTTGGAAAAGTGGAGTTACCAAACTAAAATACAAACAAAATAAATGAATGAATAAATAAAATTTTGCATTTGATACCAGTGGACAAGAAATCAACTCGATGCCATTTTTCCAGCCACAAACTGTATATAAAAAATGGAAACAGCTTCCAGGACTGAAAGATAAGCCTGTATTCTTGACTCCTGCAAAAAGAAGTCATACT